CCAAGTGGAAGAAACCAAGGCCCCCAACTCCAGTGCTTATTCAGTTATCTGCTTCTTCATTTAACTAGGGAGTAGGCAGTTACTCTAGCTTCTCTTAAACATGTTCTGCTACAGCCCCCCCCCCCCCGAACAACCCCCCACTACCACCAACTTAAACTCAAAACTGTTGACAGTCTAAACCATAACTCTTGAGTCTTACACCTGTTTTTGTCTTCACTTCAAGGGCATGTATACGAAAAAAAGAAAAGAAAAACTGCCTAACACAATTAAAATGACTCCCAAATGAGCAAAAACAGAACTGCCTTAATTCCAGACAAGCTAGAAAACTGTTCTTGGCAGGATCCACCTGCTGAGTAAAGTCATTTTAAGGGTGAAAAATACTAGCTTTTCCTTCACCCAATGCTTGTAATAATCTGTATGGAGGAGCAAAAGGAGTAATTTAGTTCTGGGTGACAGAAATCTTTCAGAAACGACCAGTTGTAGAGCCCTGCACTGGAGCCCTAGGCCCGCGGTCGGCCCAGCCCGATGGCCCGAGGGCTGGGCTTCGGGCCAACGACTGTGTAATTACCTCGGACACGGGCCAGGTGCCTTTATTTTTCATCAAATTCATAAAAAAAAACTGAAACACTTAAACGCAGCAGCACCTTCCTGCTTCTCACGCACCGGCACCTGTTAGCTCAGTTAAGGTGTGTGTGGTTTATAAATGCACCGATATAAACGAATTCTCAAACTGCTGATTGAAACATGTGCCCCTATTCTAATATGCCATTTTATGTCCACTTTGATGTCAGAAACCATTCGTTTATTCTCATGAAAACTGCAGCATTCTGTTATTCTGTAAATAAAGTCGCTCTGCAGTTAAAAAAATACCGCATTCATTGCTGGGTTTTTTCTAACTGGAGAGCGCATTTTCAGAGTGGCAGATTAAATTTACAAACGCTATATTATCTGGGGGCATTTATTTAATCGGCCGCTCTGAAAATGCGCGCTACAGTTAGAAAATTAGAATGCTGCTTTTTTTTCGAATTGCACAAGAGCGCATTTTCAGAGCAGATTAAATTGACAAACGCATCCAATTAATATAGTGTTCGTAAATTTCATCTGCCGCTCAAAAAATATGCTCTGTTAGAAAAAAAAGCTGCGTTGATGCTGTTTTTCTTTCTTTTTCTTATTTAATTTTACTGCAGAACGCTTCTCACAGATAATTAGAATGCTGAGCATTCTATCACGCTAAAACATTATGAAAGGTTAAAAAAAAAGTCGGGCTCGGGTCGGGCCAGAGAATCCTGAAAACCTTTTCGGACCGGGTCGGGCTAGGGCTCCACCCCCTCGGGCCGGGCCGGAAACGGGCTCAGACTTTAGGCCCATGCAGGGCTCTAACCAGTTGTACTCGCCTACAGCACGTTTAGGCATGTTTACTGAAATAAAAGAAACTTTTCTTACAATTTTGCATCTAGAATTAATTTATGATGGTGTCCAAGATGTAAAAGTTTGTTAATTGTTCTCGGACAGATGTGGAAGCGAAACTGAAAGTCTGTCATTTTGAACAAAGCTGGCAGATTTAGGTTATGACAGTTCCAGGAGTTTTCTGACTTTGCCGTGCAACACTCCTTCAAACGCAGCCCACATGTCTAATTCCTCTTAATCGTGACAAGGTGAGCTTCATGGGAAAACCAGAATGAACACAGTTTAACTTAAGAAGACCTTAAATCCAGGGCTAAGCAGAAACAACACCTATCGGCTGAAGTCAAACCCCACCAGAGTCTAATGTGGTGCTCATGTGTTCGTGAAACCAGATATTCCTTTTTGAAATGTTCCCACTGTTAAGCATGTTTTCCTTCTCGTTCAATGTTGTTCCCACAATTCACCTGAACTAATTAGAGTCCGAGCAGCTGGTAGGGAGGAAGGAGATGTCCTAGGACACATGGGTCCCTTTGGTGGGGCTTTTACAACCACGTGGAATTCAGTTCCCTGTTATGGAGCTAGATGTTTTTTACTACAGGCTCACAAGCTACCTCTTTTCAGGATGTTCTTTCCTACTTAGTGTTGGTGATGGTTTTCAGTCGCGGGTCAGCTGAGCTTGTATTGTACTGATACCCTACTCCCTTCCTGGAGGGCTTGTATACTGCATGTTTTAGTCGTTTCCCTAATCCAACACACTTGATTCACCTGTTCAGTAGCTCATCAACATATGCAGAAGCTTGCTAATCCCCTGCTGATTAAAATCAGGTGTGTGGAAGCAGGGAAAACAGTAAACATGCTGGATGCCAGACCATTGGGGAAGGAAGTCGGGGGTCAGTGTTGTATTGAGTACATCGTGACTTTTTAGTGGAACTTGGTTCAAATTCGGGACTTGGTCGAAATGATTCCGCTTGCCCATCGTCCTGGCCTTTTCTGTCTTGGTTTGACAGCAGATTCCTCGTGGAAATGCTGCAACACTGAAGTTGTTTCCCAGGTATGGGAATGCCGGCTTTTGGAGTTCCCATATTTACCACATCCTTTCTGTATAGAACAGGTCTTTGGGTTTGCTCACAAAATAGCAACGTTCCTACAGAGTTCTTCATTTTATGTTGTCCAAGTAGTGGCTGAATGGTGGCACAGTTAGTAGTGCTGGGGCCTTGCAGCAGGTAGTTTGCAGGCTAGAATCCCATCTGTGGGCTTTCTTTGTAAAGTTAGCATGTTCTCCCTTTGCAGGAGCAGGTTTTCTCCTGGTGGTCCAGTGTCCTCCCACAAACTAAAAACATGCATGTTAGGTTAATTGTTGACTTGGAGTTGTCTCTAGGTGTGACTGTGTAAATGGTTGTTTGTCTCTGAGTGTCTCTGTAATCGGATAGAGACCTCTCCAGGGTGTCCCCCATTTCATACCCAAGGAGTTAGTGTCCCAGTTGCCCATTTCAGGCACAGATCATGCTAATCCAAGGGTGTTTCCCAATGATCACTCTCTGGAGCTGATGGGAGTAGGTTGGACGGGGTTTGAACCTAACCTTCTGCTCCAGATGTGGGCGACAGTACCACTGCACCAACTTGTAGGGTTTCCCAGGAACACTAACATCAAGAGGAATTAACAGAAGATCAAGAACTACCAAGCAAGGGCTGATGAAGAATAAAGACGAAGACGTGGTGCCAGTGGTCATCAGAGCACTCAGGGATGTGACAAATGCAGATGAAAACATAATCGTCGATGTGCACGTTCTTCATACAAAATGTTTCTCAAGTGCATGCTCAAAGACAAACCGTAGTCTTTCTCATTCAACCAATTTGATCTTCTTCCTGAGCCAAACAATCGCTGAAAATCTGAGCCCAGGTAAAAATAGTTGTGGGCAAATAAACAAAGCAGGAAGACTTGGTGCACTAGGATACTGGGAGACGTCAACAATGGAAACATTTGCTGTGAGCCAACCGATACTGGCTGTTATTACAGAGCTTCACTTCTTGCCTCGATGTCTACACTTTGCGGTTCACTAGTCATTCATCCTGTTGATAAGAAAACACACAATTCCCCAAAGCACAAAGTTTCCTCCTGTTTCTATATTTGCAGCAGCCTTCAGCAGAAACTGTGTTCATCGTACGTGCTCAGATACTTCAGATGGGTATTGTCAACAACTGCTTTAAGGGTCCTTCTCAATTTGCAGTTCGCCACAACTCACAAACACAACATCACTGTTGTCAAAATCTTCCTTCTCTTTGTGATTCCTTTTGTCTTTTTTAGTTCATCATCTCGTAGAGGCCCAAGGAGGTAATTCTAAAGGGAAAGAGTAAAGAATCTCTGCAAGAAGGAGTTTGGTAGGCATTCTGTATTAGAGAACGTCTGTAACTCGTGTCCTGCTCCAGCGTGAGTTAGATTCCTGGTCCAATGGATCTCAGAACAGACATGTCTAATTAGAGCAGCTTACACCCCTGTGGGCTTAGTCCTGACTTGGCTGAGTTAGCCACCATGCTTACGGTTTTCTCTCCCATCCACTCTGCTCACAAACTCACTCCTCTCCCTTACTTGGCCACACACACATAGAGCTTGAACTTAAAACCCACTGGCCAATCTCAGCAATTACCAAAGCTGTCCGGGATGAAGCGGTGTCTCCTTTAGTGAGGACAGAAAGTCAAGGTCCCTTTAAATTGGAACCATACGTTTGCTTCCTGTTATCCTGAATGACTCACTGTGGTTTACACAAGTATTGGCTGAAGTTCTGGGTCTGCAGGAGAGAAACCAGAGGTCTGGGCTAAAGGCCACAAAATGACTCAGTGTCAACAAGATCCCCCCTTCCCCCCAAAAAATCCTACTGGAGCAATTAAGATGCCTCCTTACTGTAAAACTGTTTTTTCATGCTTTGTTGTGCATCAAAAAGGACCAAGCTGAAAAGTCTAAAGGCGTGCTGTGGTTGATGTTTTTACAGCACTGAGTGGCATGTGGGAATGGTGAATTGAGCCAAAGGCTTCACTTCGACAGGAAGTCTGTGGAATACCATGTTAGGGGTCAGTTGTAGTGATGGGAAAACATGGACAATGGTGTCATTCCATCTCCTCGTCGCTTCCCTTTCTCAGCCCTCATCGTACGTTTTCATGCTAAGGAGTCATGTTGGTAGAAAGTTCGTAGGTAAAAAAAAGGAGTTAAGATCTAAAAAATGGCAAGAAAAAGAGCAGGAAAGTTTTGAAGCAGTTTTTTTTTCTCTGCTGTCATCTGGTGTTCTGTGTTCGTTACAGAAAGAAAAAAAAAACAGGTTGGGGAATTCAACTGCAACCACAACTGTCCTGATGAAAGGGTTTTATGTTAGAGAAACATTAGTCGGGTTATGTGGCTCTGTCCAACCCTCCATCCTCCCCCACTTCCACCCTATCTCTACTTGATTGCACATAGGGCTGCAACTAACGATTATTTTCATAATCGATTAATCTGTCGATTATTTTTTCGATTAATCGATTAATCGGTTTGTTATTGTTTAGCTATTTAACCTATACAAGTGATGAATACATTTCAGTTAAGAAAAAGAAAAAACATAAGAGAATTGTGCAGTTGACTGCAATCTATTTTATTGCACATGACCACAGTCAGCAGTGTAAAATGAGCTAAACAGTGCAAAATATCAGTCCAGAATAATTTTTTGGCATCAAAATATAAGAGGTAAATTCCATAAAAAATGATGTAGAATCTGGAATAGAGTTTGTAAGTGGTATGCATTGCTGGGGGTGAGTGTCTTGTTCCCCATGTAGTTGTCCATCGCTGCTTGTTTTTTTCTGCATAAGAAACACAAATAAACTGAATTAAGTACACATATAAAATAAAGCAGCACACACTACAACACTAAATCAATATTACATTATTTGAATTAATTAACAATATACAGTGATCATTTATTTTGACAAAAATGTGTTGTGAGGCGTTTTACAGCGTTAGATAGTAAAACAGCCTTTTAATAGTAAAAAAAGGACTTTCTGAATTTCTCCTGTATTTAAAAATTGAAAGCGTACAACTATGCCGCGTTATATTCACCTGGACACAGCTCGTCTGTATATTTTTCTCCGCGGAGTTGTCCTTTTTTGAATGAGGAACATAGTTATGGGTTTGTGCCGTTTTTCTCTTAACGAGAACATTCTTATAAACAGACGTGCTAAATTTGGCAAGCGCATGATTCACAACACGGAGGAGATTCACGATTGCATCTAGTCAATCAGAAGTAGAACACCGTAAACTGACGCGGCAAAAAAAAAAAAAAAAAACATGTTTAACATCCACTATAACGAACTCAGCTAACACTAAGTCCCAAATGTGATCTGCGTTAGCTTGTTTATTTTCTGTTACTTACCGGACATTCTTCTGCTGCATCAGCCCCCACGTTTTCGTCTCAAATGTTCACTTAGGGATGTCGTGCTTCCGTGCCATGCTAGATGGTTTTTGCATATTTTGTAGGTCACCGGTCTTTTCAAGGCATCTAGTGAAGTGCTCCCATACTCGTGAGGTTTTTGTCCGGGGTTTCTCTTGTTTTGTCGCTTCTATTTTTCTTCCGTATTTGTTGTTGATCCGCCATCTCTCACAGCAAGATGAGCGTCAGTAACGTGATACGTCATGAAAACCGAGGGCACTTATTGGCTCATTTCTTCTTCTACGGCCCCACTGGTAGATCAGTGGCTCATTACTGCCACACACTGGCGGCAAATTTAACAGATTGTAACCGATGTCAGATTGTGGTAAAAAATAGACTTTATGCGGTAAAATATGATTATTAAACAACTAATCGATGACTAAAAAAGTTGTTAACTATTTTAATAATCGATTATAATCGATTAAATCGATTAGTTGTTTCAGCTCTAATTGCACATCCTCTTCTTTTCAACATAAACCAGCTTGGTTTTATATATTCTGTCATGTTGGGCCTGACAACAACAAGGAATGAGGACTTCTGGTTCATGAGAGAGAAGCAGGGATTGCAAACACAGTGATACACAGCTGTAGCCAACATCTGTGAGATGGCTCATTGCTCAACCTTTTTTCGCCTGTCTAGACTGGAGATTTTTAAATCTGTCTTAAAATGTTTAAGTTCAGCTCTGGAGGCCAAATTTAGGCCAACATGCATGTCAGTTGAACAAAGGGCTGTGACTGTAGTCACAGAGGGCCTCAATTTGAATTTTGTCATGTCTGTAAAAAAAGACAGAACAGATTTTCTGGAGTTTTTGTCTCCAATTGATCACAAAATAATTTCCAGAAGTTGCCAAATTTCAGTTTTTTTACACTATCAGACTCACTAAACCAAATGAAAAAGTTGTTCATGCGACTTTGAGACACTTGTGAGGACTGTTGTGCTCTCCATTTAGATTTCTTTGGGATTTCCACATTTCCAATTCAAAACTAACTCTGTCCTCTTGAGAAAATGTCATAAATATTGTTTTTAATAATTCTTAAATACAACGGGTCACTCTTGAGTTTTTCAAGCAGTCTGAACATGAAAATAGTCTCCTACACCTATCTCCTGCATTAGCTTCTGATATAAAACAGACGGTGAAACTCTAGGATTAGAAAATCCTGACAGATCTACGTCACACTGTCACTAACATTCATGGACTCGCCCATCTTGACTCATGACGAGGAAGGCGGTTGTTGGTTTAGCGTCCAGGAAACAGCAGAGAACGTCTGAGCTAGCAGAAGCTAACCATTAGCATTAGCAACTCCACCACACAGCAGAACTCCTCCTGGCTTGTGTTATTTGTGGAGATAAAACATCAATGTTGCAGAGCAGACAGAAATAATGGTACAGTTAGCCAATCAGAGGAGGGATGTCCAACTATCAGGAAAGAAGGCTCCAGATCCTGTCGTTTGAAGCTACTTTTTCCTCCAGCTGACTTGTACTTCCTGATTCAGGCAACCCCCCTCCCATGAGTACGACTTCCTACTAGAGACCACTGCAAATGTCTTGATTAAGTGTTTAATACCTTCAAAGGGAAATTTTGCAGTCTTGGCTTGTGTTTAGCACCCCCTAGTGTCCATATTTACTCACTGTCATAAAAAACGAAACTGAAACTCCTCACTGTGTGCATGTTGTTAACATCGTAATCTGCCTGCTGAAATGTCTCCGCCGCCTTCATTAGTTCCTACAGGAGCGGCTCGTCACTAATTCAAACAAATCAGCTGTGTTCATGATCTGAACCATGCAGGCATTATGTTTGACGCATATAATGGTTGGACATTCTATTTAGTTTTACCTTCATCAGAGAAATGGGGTTTTTTTTGTTTCTTCTGAGGCTCCACCATGATGAACACATTATAAAAATGCTAAGCAGGTGTAACTCGTCTATTCTGAGGTGTAAACATGGGTTGCCGTAAAGCGTGACTTTGTGGGATTTCAGGGCAGCGGTCCGGAGAGGCTGAAGCTGAAAACGGGGTATCCTGCTCACAAGGGGCTGAGAGTTTCCATTCACCCTAAAGGGTAATGGTAGCAAATACTGGCTCAAGAAAATGATTTTAAAACATGCAACGTTTGTTTAGTACACCTTGTGTGGGCGACGGTGGCACAGGAGTTAAGTGCTCGTCCCGTAATCGGAAGGTTGCAAGTTCGAGCCCCGCTCAGTCTGTCGCTGTCTTTGTGTCGTTGGGAAAGACACTTAACCCCCCTTGCCTGCTGGTGGTGGTTGGAGGGACCGGTGGCGCCAGTGCTCGGCAGCCTCGCCTCTGTCAGTGCGCCCCAGGGCAGCTGTGGCTACATCGTAGCTTATCCCCACCAGTGTGTGAATGGGTGAATGACTGATTGTGTTGTAAAGCGCCTTGGGGGGTTCCAGTACTCTAGAAGGCGCAAAATCAAATACAGGCCAGTTACCATCTTCTATTTAAGCAGGTCCTCCGTATAGCTGCCTACGTTGTTAGGTGTGTTTTCACTGATTCAGGCTGTTAAAATGTATTGTATAGATACGTACAACTCAAATAGACGCCATAAACCAAACTATAAAATAGCTATTAAAGCCAGTCTGATTGAATGTTGGTTTGTTTTTTAATAACCAGTAATCTGACTCAGATTATAACCTCAAACGTCCTCCCATAAAGTTTCCTTCGAGTGGCGGAAGTGCTCTATCTTGCTTAATTACACAGGCCGGTCAACTCATCACGGGCTGAATTTCACTCATTTTAATCCTTCCACTTCCCACTGCTCCTCTTTGAGTTCCTCCCTGGCTTCTTCTGCACCTCTTTGCCATTGGATCTCTGTCACCCCCCACCCCCACCCCAATCCCTGTGGATTCAATTTTCCACTTGGGATCAAACATGCAGGAGAAGCTGTGCTGAGAGAAAACACGCAACTAGTGGACATTTATGTTGTGTAATGTCTGAAGTCTGTGTGCATATCTGTCTGAGCTGTTTTTTGCATAGCAAAGCTGCCTTCTCTGGTGAGGGTAACTCCGAAGTGCCCTTTTTTCCCTCCCCCTGACTCTATCCTCATATAAACTCTCTTGATCTTTTACGGTAGCGCAACTCGGGTTGCGAATGACCACAGTCACCAATTCTTGTTATGTGTCTATGTATGTATGTCTGATCTCAGAATTGTGTGTACTGAAACTCTAATTTCCCTTTGGGATTAATAAAGTATCTTTGAATTGAATTGAATTGAATTGAGAAATAAAACTGTTTACAGCCCTCTGAGTCTCTGAAAGGGTCTGAGAACATTTCTGTATTTAATTTTGGAGAACAGAGATGAGTAAGCTGGAGGGGGTCGATGGTGTGAGCAAAGATTAGGAAACAGAATGATGGAGGAGACAGAAAAACTACAAACCACCTATTACCACCAACCCCTCTGTTGGGAAGGAAGTTTACAAAAAGGGGAATGTGGGAGGAGGTAAGTGGTTCCACAGAAATGGAGCAGATGTACAGATGTACGCTGACTGGTGTAATGACATCATTTGTCACCAAGTTTACTGCAACACCAGCCAAGAGGAGATGTAACCACTTATCTGCTAAGAGCAGGTTGGCTTACATACGTAGTAAATATCCTCAAAGTGAAGAGTAGAAGTGGCCAAGTCAAGGTTTTGGCTAATAAAGTTCAAATGTTTGGACTTTTGGAAGACTAATGCCATCCCTTCTCCATCACTGCCTCAAGTTTCAGATAACAGCAAAGATGGACGCAGTGACCAGCCTTATCTAACTCTCCCTTCCTGGCCAGCAGAGATGGATATCTCTGTTCAACAACCCAACAGCATACCATTCCTGTCAAACATCCTCTTCCTTTCTGCAACCATTAAATGAGACTCTTGAAGCAGCAGGCCTTTTTTCCCTTGTTTCCTAAAATCTTGACTGCGAGCTAGATCATTTAAGTTTTGTCACCTTGTTGATACATGCGTGTTTTAAGCCTTAGATTTGGTCTATCACCAGAACAGATCAAAGTAAGGGTCTGTGTGATGTTCTTTGTCTAAAGACAATTCTGCCTTTCACCAAACCTGTAAACTAACACCTAACAAACAACCATTTTACAAGTGGCCCTTAAACCCTCCCACTGTCCTAATGGGTGTGACACCGTGAGGAAAGTTGACCATTTAGCAGGATTGATGGTTCATCCCTTGGGTCCATGTGGCAGGGGGGAGGAGTGAGCACCACCTGACCCCTGCCACGTGGACCTCAAGGGATAAACCATCAATCCTGCTCAATGGTCAACTTTCCTCGCGGGGTCACCCATAAAGACAGTGGGAAGGTAAAAGCTTTTTTTTGTCCTTTCTGCTATCTCAAAGACCTCCTTTAATCCATGAACTCCTCTTCAAGGCGCTCTTCTCAGATATGAGGATGCTAGAGGAATGACTCCACATGCCTACGCCCTTGGCTTTCTCTCCTTCGTCCGCTGCCTGCCAAGTCTTCTGCCTCCTCCTTCGTCACTCTTGACATGGCCATGGCTGGCATTCTTCCCCTCTAAATCTCTCTGTCTATTCAATACAACATCCCTCCATCAATGGCTCTTTCACGGGGGCAACGGTGTGTGGGGTTCCAGGCAGGCTTGGAGCTCCTTCTGAGGAATGCAGCTCAGCAGCTTTTTTACGGATGAGATCTGGAGACTTCTACCCTCGCAGAGCATCTGCAATTGGCTGTTTCACATCTCACTCCAAGTATAATCTACTAGTTAAGACTAGACCATAACACAACCCAACCATCCTAACCCAGGGGTCTATCTCACCAAGCACGTTAAGAGAGTGTGCATTCTGTTTGGACACAGAATTAAAATCACATTTATTCAACTCCCGCAGTTTTTCCTTGATTCTGTTTTGTTATTGGAATGTTTTATAAGACAGCCCTTATGGTGCTGACCTGTGGAGATTACATATTTACTTTAGAGGATGCTTGGAGAAAATGTGGTTTGGGTTGGAACATCTCCATCTGTCCCTTAATGTTCTTAAATGAAATGAAAACAACTGGAATAACTGAAAACCAACATTTCATTAATGGATCATCAATCAAATCTATAGTTAAGTTTGCAGAAACAGTTCACGGACAGTAGGTGGAGAACATGACTGTTTTTATCTGTGGGTACACCTGGTGCCCACCAGAGCCTTTGAGCAGGTCTGGTCGCTGATGTCCTCGGGTCTTTCTACAGCTGCGTGGTGGCAAGTGCCCTGACCCATTGCTTCACTGTGTGGTATGGCAGCTGCACTGGGGTACAGAAGGAAACATTGTAGAGGGTGGTAAAGACTGCCCAAAGGACCTTTAGGTGCAGCTTACCACGCCTTTTAAACACAATCAAAAGATTTGTGCAACAACCTTTTTTTAAATATAGAATTGTGTGCATCTGGAAGCCTTCCAATCAAAGTTTACAAATGTGACATAAACTTTAGTGCAGTTGGCTACTGAATAGCACATCAAAAGACAATAATTCCCAAACGCAATTTAGAATCTGTTGTTTATTTGCACAGCAACTGAAAGAATTGTGCAATAATGTCGTTCGGCTTGCGACTGGCTGTCTTTAAAACCTAAGTTTTGAAGACAGCCAGTCAGCAACAATTGTTGATAAAATGTTTTACTTACAAAGATTTTATGTGATTCCAATAGAAAAGTTGCCTATTTTCTCAGGTGTTTTTTTGTCTTTTAAAAGGCAACTTTACTCATATTTGTAATACATTTGTTGTGGCCTCTTGTAATGAAGGTCTTTCTCTGGGGAAATAAGCTGAGGTGTGCTTGTATGAGGACGTTGAAGTCAATTAGATGAGGAAATGGCAAAACTGGATTTGGAGTATTTTTTTCCCTGTCATTTGGACATCTCACCTCTGATTGGCCAACAGCAACACGACTCTACCATTGACCCCATTTGCTCTGCAACTTTGATGTTTTATCTCCACAAATAACACAACCTGGAGGAGTTCTGCTGTGTGGTGGAGTTGCTAATGCTAATGGTTAGCTTCTACTAGCTGAGACGTTCTCCGCTGTTTCCTGGACACTAAACCAACAACCGCCTTCCCTGTCGCGAGTCAAGATGGGTGAGTCCATGAATGTTAAGTGACAGTGTGACGTAGATCTGTCAGGGTTTTCTAATCCTAGAGTTTCACCGTCTGTTTTCTATCAGAAGCTAATGCAAGAGATAGGTGTAGGAGACTATTTTCATGCTCAGCCTGCATGAAAAGCGATATTTAAAAAAAAAAAGTAAAAAATGGTTTCTCTGTGAACTTGATCTTTTATAATCATTGTTTACCAAATTAGTTACTAAGTGTTTGATTTGATATTCAGAGTAAATGCTAAATAAATCAATTAAATATTGTAGTTTTGTCTTAATAATAAAAAAGAAGCAACTTGACAGCTCTGGAAACTTGCACGACATAGAAATGATACACTCTGTATGTGATAATCCATCAGATTATTTTGTGTATTTTTTGGATGATCCTTACCTTCACCTCGCATTTCCTGTGAGTGCCTGTTTTGCATACTAGAGGATGACAATAGAGGGAAAAGTAGAACTAATCAGAAGATCTGCATAGTCCAAGTTGTGTGCAAATATAATAAAATGTAAAAAGCCAAAGCTGATATAAATATAGCTTCACTCATTTATATTGATCTTTGTCATTTCTATACTTTGATATTTTGGCTCTCACCTCTGCAGAAGGAGCCCACGTTGTCGATGTTCTGTTGACACACGCTGCACTGCCGCTTCTTCTTAAAAGTCTTTTCCTTGAACACGTGAGGCTCTCCTTTTCCAGCCTGCTTAAAAACAGAACAGTTTGAAAATCCAGTTTAGTTACCAGCATGGACACACACACACACACACACACACTTTTTGCGAGACAAGTTTTGACCCCTGCACTTTTTACCATCCAAAAACAATATCACGCTATATTAAATGGACACTGGTTGAGCTCTAGGACCAAGCGGAAAACAACCGTTTGTGTTGAAGCCTGTTTCCCATTAGAGCATACTGTAAAGATCCCCCCCCCCCCCCCCCCCCGTGTCCCCCCCACTTCTAAAGTGAAAATTACGTCCATGGTTACTGGACAATGCGCTTACACCACAGCGGCGGAAGGACCGCCGTCTCTCAGAAACTCTTAATTCAACATCCATCTCAGGGTTTGACTCGGCAAACATGCCTATGAGCCAACTTAACACTATAAACAGACCAGTATATGTAAACAAAGAAACAAGATGATGCTTGAGTGACTTTGTGGATGGTAACAGTCACATAATTTAAGACAGAGCAGCTGTAGCTTATCCTTTTTGCCTATTTTTCTGCATGCATGTGAACAAATACCGCATCCATTTGTTACTCCTTTTTCCTGTTGAACTTCTCTTCTGGTTGTGTAACCATCTTCCAGTAATAATCCCCGTGGTTGCCGCCCATTCCCTTCTAATCCCCATGTTTGCGTGTGCGTGAGAGCGTTTGTACAGATTTGTGAAAGTTTAAACAAAATCAAACTGATTTTGACCAAAAATCTGAAAAGATCAAACCAGGAAATCAGCTACTTTCCTTTCTTGCGTTCACATCAATGCAAATGTGTGCGTGCATGTGTGTGTGTGTGTGTGTTGTGATCATTCCCACCCGGTGCCTCTTTGGTTTCCCAACATGGGATTATGTGCAAGGGTAACTGGACTTGGCGTAACTTTGAACATGAGAACTCTAACGAATGAGGCCCAAGAGCGAAAATGCACAATGGGAAGGGGAGACGAGTAAGGGGGGGGGGGGGGGGGGGGGGGGGGGGGGTACTTGTGAACAGAGCACCATCATGGTGAGGAGGAGCCCATATACAGGAACACTCACTTTAACAATTACATTCCTGTGAAAACTATCTTTATTTGGTGTTTTCTCCCCATAGCTACAACAGAATGGACCAGTCTGTGCACTTTTTCCATCCTTCTGCTGTTCTGTGATCCGGGACTGGATGGTGTTTGGACAGCTGCCTGCTTGGCATCACCCTCGCCCAGCTGTGTTCAGTGGCTGCTGGACTGTTCCCACAAGTGTATTATGACCACAACAGCCTGGATGGTGGAGGTGAACAGGGTGGGTGGCTCAGGGAGGGTGCAGATACCAGTTATATAATCTGGTCAGACTGGGTGGTATAGATGTTCTTCTCACTTGTTTTTTTTCATGATAAACTAAAAATATAGCACCTTCTAGAGTCCTGGAACCCCCCAAGGCACTTTACAACACAATCAGTCATTCACCCATTCACACACTGGTGGGATGAGCTACGATGTAGGCACAGCTGCCCTGGGGCGCACTGACAGAGGCGAGGCTGCCGAGCACTGGCGCCACCGGTCCCTCCGACCACCACCAGCAGGCAACGTGGGTTAAGTGTCTTGCCCAAGGACACAACGACAGCGACAGACTGAGCGGGGCTCAAACCTGCAACCTTCCGATTACGGGGCGAGCACTTAACTCCTGCGCCACCGTCGCCCACTGCTCAAATGCAGAGATGAATTTCACCAGTGTGTGGTGACAAATGGGACTTTAACTTTATTGATACATTCGTTGGTTCACACAGAAACAAACCCCAGAAGTTCCAACTATAAAGGAACTAAACAATCCTGACCTCAAACATCTCCTCTGGTTCCACAGGCTTCAGCCTCTCCTTCCTCCTTACATTTATATCCAGTGTTCCCTATTTTCCTCATTTTATTTTGTACATTACAAGTATTACTTGGAGTTGGTCTGAAATGACCGGATCTTTGCGTTCTGAGACGTAACCCCATCCAGCATGTCTTATTTTTTTTCAGTCAGACTTTGGTTGTAAGTGTTTAAGAAGTCACACTCCCATAATCCTCCTTGATCCGCTCCCCTAGTGTGTTGATATTTATGCCCATTGACAAGTCATTTTATAATTATGGTGCCCCACAGACACCAAAGAACACAAACATTTTACAGAAGCCTATTTTTATGCCCGCGTGTTTGCAGCTTCAGTCTGCAGTGTGCAATCATTCCCATCCATAAAGTTTTGCAATCATTTAGTGATCACGTCCACACACACACACACACACACACACACACACACACACACACACACACACACACACACACACACACACACACACACACACACACACACACACACACGCGCGCACACACACACACACACACACACACACACACACACACACACACACACACACACACACACACACACACACACACACACACACACACACACACACACACGCGCACACACACACACACACACACACACACACACACACACACACACACACACACACTAGTGCTGGCATGAGGCCGCAGCAAGTTTAAAAAAGCAACCAGTTACTGTCAGCTGAGCCGCAATGGTGAAGTGGGCTGAGACATAAACACATAGAGGAGAGGCTGGCAGCATTCCTCCAGTTTCAGACACAATCAGGACCACTATATAACCAAACCACACGCAATCATGGTCAGACAGCGACACACAACTCTGCCATTGAGTGCTCTGTAAGGTGTTGTAAAGCTGCTCCATGCTGGTTCATGTAAGGGGACTGTAGAGTTCATGCAGCGTGTGTGCTTTGGCACTTGGATAGGAAAAAGATTTAGCATAAAGAAACTGACAAATGTAAATGGCTTTAAAACAATTTAAACATCTAATGAAATCATGGAGGTGCAAAAGCTCAAAAAGGAAGATTTACCAGCCCAAACTCCATTAAAGGTCAATAAAATAGCAATGTCTGCTACCCCATCCAGATGGACCCTGAAGAAAAGTGGTTGTGTCAGATGTGATTACGGTTAATGATCTAAATAAATGTTCAGAGGAACATTATTATACGTTGCAGTTGTCTGATAACACACTAATGAAGCCAAAGCTGCATCAAATGATGTTCTCAGTGGAGCATTACTGTCTGCCAAGCCAAAAAAAAAATAGAATGATCGTTAATGTCACAAAATGTGAACATGAAGCCAAATTAGCAAGCTGGAAATTAATATTAATATTTAGTTTAGACAAGAAAAATATAATTTTAAATGGAACTTATGTTCTAAGTTGCTAGTTTAGCAAAATTAGTCCCAGCGATTAATTCAGAAACAGATTAAATCTTAGATTTCTAAAATCGCTGCACCACATTTTTCTTTGTGAGACATTATTTCCTTGAATGCAACTTCCTGTACCCTCAGCTCAGTTGTGTACCAGTTGTAGCACCACCCCACACCACTAGTGGCCAGTGTGGGCCAGTCTGCTGGGTTGAGTTGATCCAAGTTGCACAACATGTGTTGCAGATACCTCTCAGCAGCTACAGCTACACAGCAAATCAGCTGAATAACTTAGTCACTGGCTTTTAAATTAACATTTTGTGTTTGCTTAGATTCGTTGAATGTGGCAGCCATCTTGAATTGGATCCACTCCAAATGTTAATCAGTTATAGATAATCTACCAAGGCTAAGTAGTTCCCTTGTTATCTGCCCGGCAGTTTATAAAATATTTTGCTAAAATTTGATGCAAACGATTTAAATAGGATAGTCTGCTAGGCCCAGGACTTTTTATTTAAAGTGGGACAATTTTAAAAACATGAGACCACACACATGTAGCAATAAATAATCACGAATATACCAGTTTTGGCTCTACAGTGTGTGGTGTGTGAATAAAAAAACAGTGTGCTTTTGTCACCTCACTTTCTGAGTGGCTACCCGTCACATTCAACAGGCAGTATTCGACTAAATCAGACCAAGTCGATCCAACACCTTCTGTATGATATACAGTCCTGACCTCCTTCTGAGCCGATCAGAGCAAATACAACACATCACACACAGTAGTAATACCAGATAACATTTTTAGAGCTTTCATGATAATCGGGCATCTTCTTAAGATTGTCGGAAGAGGATATTCTGGTCAAAAATTGTAATAATTATCTTGTCGTGTGAACCAAGTCACCACGAAGCCTGGATCAATAACAAAACATATAGAAAAATAAAGAAGCTGATAAACATTGTAGAATGAAGAAAGATCAATTAAACTAAACTGAATTTGATAAAACTTTATGAATCGTGTATGTAATTATGGTGAGAGGGATGTTCGTAGAGCTGTTTGTGAAATACTCTGGTCTGGCTCAACGTGGTAGTCCAACATTTACAGCTTTGTGGAGGAACAGAAAAACAGCTGGTAGAGTCGGAGTGCAAGAGCACTAAAAACAAGCTGCAATGCAGAGCTCAGTCCCCTGGATAGTGATTACTGTCACCGCTGCAATGAATAAGAAAAAAAAAACATCTTCCTCTGGTGAAACATTTGTAATGCTGTACTAAGGATGGGGTTTGTAAAGAGTCTGTCACAAGTTTAGATCGTTAGATAGGAAAAACAAAGATTTCTCCACTAAGCTGCCTTCGTTCCTACAAACGTGACACAAGTTGTAAACCCGAGACATCAGGTAGAAAACCTTTACTCACTCATTTGTGCAGATGTGTCTTTCCCAGCAAACAGTTGGCAAAAACAGACAGCTGTCCCCTTTCCTTTTCCTGTCCATGTGTGATCCCGGACAGACCCCCAAACCCCCACATGAAGCATCTGCTATACACAACAAGGTCCTTTTTCTGATATTTTTAGCCTTGTGGCAAAAAAAAAAAGGAAAATCAGAGTCAAAGAGATGCTTTCTTACAAGAACACCCCCCCCCCCCCCCCCCTTCTCTTTCCTCACCATCCCCTCCAACAGCAATCAAAGAACAGAAGCCGGATTCAAAAGCAGGGGGGTGGACACGTCCACAAGAGATCCACACACCATCATACAAACGTATCAACAGAAAC